CTATGCTAGATGTTCAAGAAATGTTGGTTCCCTTGTTATGTTGTCCCTGTATGAAGGACCATCAGCATCAGTGTGAGCAATGTCCCTTTAACTGAATACCTACTTGATGCCAAGCATTGTTAGGCAGTTTATTATTTTGAAATCTCATAATAACTTTGATAAAAAAAATTTTTATTTCCATTATAGAAATGCAAAAGCTGAGGTCTGCAAAGTATAGGAGAGTCACAAGACCACGCTGGCAGCATGAAGAGTTAAGGTTTAACCCAGCCATCTCTGACTTCAAGTACTGTGTGTTCTTGACTGTCTTCACCACTCTGCCCCTTCCATAGGCATTTGACTCCAATGTGCAATGGTATTTGTGGATTTTCAATGCTTTCCTCCTTTCGGTAGATGTTAACTGGTGTTTGGTCTTTAATCACGGCACAATGAAATCTATTTTTCTAAAGCTTTCATCTCATAAAATTGGAAATGGTTTTCTGGGAGGAATGGCTTTTTCTACTATCCTGACGTCATACACAAGCAGGCAGTCTCTTCAACGTTCAACACAGGACTGCGTGGTTTTGTTGGCTAAAGCTCTAGATATAATGTGATAATGTAGTGTCTGGATCAGGGCCATGCCCAGAGTTGGCGATCAATAAATATTTGTGCAATGAATGAATTGGATGAAGTCACTGCACTGCTGTTAGACCATTCTATCCTGTTCCTGTCCTGTTCTTCCCTGTCAGGCTAACATGCTGGGCTTTGTTCCTGGGACCCTTTGTGGGAGCTTTCTGGGGGCTGATGACATTTCACAGACAGATGTAGGGTAAAGAAGGTAAAGGCAGAGAAGCAGCTGTGAACGAGCTGACAGCAAGATTTAGCCATAGGTGCACCAATGAGAAGCCCACAAACCCAGAAAGGCAAACAACATGGGCGAGGCACCAGGAGGGACCCAGAGGACCTCACGGGACAGCTCTGCGATGACTGTTTCAGCTGGATGCTGCTTCTGGTCAGGTCTTAAACACAGATTTCTACAGCAAGTCTCCCCCTCTCACTCATTCCCACATTACACAGAGAACATGAGTGTATCAGAGCACTGATCCCAGGAGACCACCATTGATCCTGCCAAAGAACTTTAAAAATACTTTCTTTAGACATGTTGACCCCCACCAAACCAATCCCCCACCACTATGTTCAATATTCTTTTGAAACTAAATAGAGAGAAAATAGAAGGAATAAAATAGCTGATAGGCCCACTTTATTAAGTCAAAGGTGAGGTTTTAGAGGCTTAAATGTGGAGCCCCAGCTTATTTTGACAGACCGTCTGCTTTTAGGTGACCCTGGCAGGTTCTGGGCTACCAAGGCCTGCCGTAATGACTGCGGATCCAGGGCACTTGAGGACAGAGAGAGAAGGGGCAGTCAGACCTTAGAAGGTTAATTCAGACCAGATGCCAGAGCAGTAAATGGAAGGCAGCCATAGGGCAAGGGGAGCAAATGGAAATTAGTACATAGGAAAAAACTCTGCTGAACTTAGAAACACAGAAAGAAAGAGAGAGAGAGAGAGAGAGGGCTGGCCAGTTAGCTGAGCTGATTAGAGTGCAGCCTTGTAACCCCAGCGTCACAGGTTCAGATCCCCTTATTTGCCAGCCACCAAAAAATAAAGAACGAAGAAAACAAGAAAAAAAAAAAGGAGAAGAATCCTTGTTCCTGTCAATAAAATTCCTAAAATCCTATGATCATGTATTTAATACAAGTGACATAGCACCCCTGAAAGTGAAAGGTGGGATAAGGTCAAAGGCAGCCTGTCCTGGAAACAGCACTGCTCTGGGAGGACGCTTTGAGACCCGAGTTCACATACCTTGGGCAAGTCACTCAACCACGCTTTGCTTCGGCTTCCTCATCTGTGAAATCAAGAGTTTCTTCCAGCCTCACGACTCCACGGAAAGGGCAGGGAAGAGGAAACAAGGTTTGCTTGCGTCTGCCCAATGTCTGGTTCCCAGCGCACAGCCGGAACAGGGCTGAGAGCACTTGGCGTTCCAGAGGAGGTCACCAAGTAAACACAAGGTGGGCTGAGACACAGAATAAACACAGCCACATGGACCCTGAACAGAGGAGAGTGCAGAGCCGGAGGGGGCGCTGGGCTTTTGGCAAAGACGGCAACACAGGGGAGATTGAGGCAGAAAACCACAGTCTCCACAGGCTGCCCTGGACTGGCTTCTGCTGCCCCGTCCTCTCCACCTGGACAGGGAGAGCAGTGTCCTGACCAGGTCTCTCTTCAGGACGTTCAACCAGGAATGCAACATAAGATCACAAGGGCCCTGCTCTACTGCCTCGGACAGGACAGTGGAGGGGGAAGCTCAGTGGGACCTCCCGGGCAACAGATGCCTGTGCCATGCCCCGTGCTTTCTGGGGATGGCCACAGTCTGAATGTTTGTGTATCCCCAAATTTCATATGTTGAAAACCTAATCATCAAGGTGATGGTACTTGGAGGTGGGGCCTTTAGGAGATGAACAGGTCATAAGGGCAGAGCCTTCATGAGTGGGATCAGCACCCCTGTAAGAGTCCTCAGAGAGCCGCCTGGCCCTTCCACCACGTGAGGACGCAGTGAAGTCTGTGGACCAGAACTCAGGCCCTCACATGACACACCCCCTGTCTGTTGGCGCTTTGATCTTGGACGTCCCTGCCTCCAGACTTGTCCTTACTCATAAGTGGGTGCTAAGAAGGAAGGAAGGAAAGAAGGAAGGAAGGAAGGAAGGAAGGAAGGAAGGAAGGAAGGAAGGAAGGCAAGACCACAATAATATGTCGAACTTGCAGAAAGAGAGAACAAATCCATGGTTACTAGTGGTGGGAGGGGGCGGGGGGGGGTTGGGGAGAGACTGGGTAAGGGGCATAAAGAATAATTACGATTTGTAATAATGAATATGCTAATAATATTGATTTGATCATTGCACGTTGTACACAGGTGATGGTAGTCAACACTGTACCCCCCAAATATGTATCATCAATTATGCTTCAATTAAAAAAAAAGAATGGTGAGAAATAAATGTTTGTGGTTTACAAGCTGGCCAGGTCATGGCATTTTGTCACAGCAGCCCGAACGGACTAGGACACGTCTCCAGCTTTCCTTTCCGCCTTCCAGTGGAAAAGAGCTCCAGCTCTGAGGCCGCAGGCTTCTGAGCCCCACTCCTTCAAGCTCTGAGCGGGCTCTGCCGAGGGAGGTGTGGAAAAGGGAAGACAGATTTGGAGCCTCACCGGGCTTGTGCTGCACCGCGACCCCTGCAGCGCTGACTTCGGAAATCCTCCCTTTCCAGGGAGGAGTAAATCCCACTTTCCAGGAGCTTGGGTTTGAGGGCATCGGGTTCTCCCACAGCCCCTGCACGCAGGTGACTCGAGACTGCTCGTGTCTGCCCTTCCCCGTGGGATCCCCTAACCCAGCTTTAGCAAAGCGTCCAATGTTCCGATAACCCGAGTCCGTCTCAAACGGTTTCTCCTTCCCTTTGAGAAGTGGACGACTGTGAGTTAGCAGGACTGCAGATTCTCAGTCACGGTGCATGTGGTGCATGTGTGTTCCTGTACCCCTGTAGCGCTTACAAGGACCCTTGGACGGAGAACTTCGTGTAACTCACGGCAGGTTTAGGAGGCTCATCTCCTGGCCAGACTGGTCCTGTTCCCGGAACGTCCTGGAGGAAGGTGTCCCTGCGTGGGCTTTGAGACAGGACAGACCTGGGTTTAGATCTGCACTCTGCCCCTCGTCACCGGGTGGCATGAGTCTCAGTCTCCTCGCTGGGGAACGGGGACAGTCGGGAGTGGACCGGCCCAGGGGGGCTCCCAGCCACCCGCCCGCGCGTGTGCGGGGCGCGAGGGATGCCCGCGCTCGTCCCCGGGGCGCCGCGCGGGTCGGGCGC